GAACCTATGAATCAGCAATATTATCCGGACGGTAATTCCTCTGTGCCGTCATCACTGTGATACTGCTCAAGTGCAGAATAGCATGGCTGTCCCGCAAAAGGATGTGGAAAATCCATAGGGATTGTCTCCAAYCTAAGTGCTAGAAAATTCTGATGCCAGGGCATGAGGCTGTGTATATGTTCACATCATATTCGATGTCCTATCTGAGGGGGGTCTCAATTTCCTCTTAGCCTCATCTTTGTGTATAAGCAGCTTTTTTCAATACTTCTATGCAACATTATATATAATTATATTAACAATGTATTAAGTAAATCTTTGTGATTTCATCTTTTTCTTGCAGGACATGGTGATTATGCCTATCAGCAGTCATCCTATACTGAGCAGAGCTATGACAGGTCATTTGATGACTCGACACAGCACTACTATGAAGGAGGTAGGAAACGTTTTGTTGTTTCAGGACACTGTAAATGGAATTTCCTTCTTGGATGTTTTAGAAATACTAAAATGTTTGGTCTTTTTGGAGCATACAGATAATCATTATTATTATCCTAAAGAAAATACTGTGGGAGGGCCTGCTGAGGAACCAGCTATTGCAAACTGGTGCTCTTATTTTTGTGCTCTTTTGTTCTGGAGTACTTTTTGAGTTTAAAAAAAAAAAAAAAGCCTTTTGGAAACTGGTTTCTTTGCTTGTTTAGTGATGCATATATATAAACAACTCTTTCCCTTTCAAAAGAGCTAAAATTAACAAGATTCATTGAAAATGCAAACATCTGTTTCTGAAAAGAGTTCTTTTCTATGAGTCCCATGTCAAGACTCCTGACTCCTTTTTTATTTATGATTAGGATGTACAGTGAGACACCTTGTTCATCTGTAACCAAACTATTTCAATTTTTTTTATTTCTCTTTAGGTAATTCTCAGTATAGCCAGCAGCAGGCAGGATACCAACAGGGAGCTGCGCAACAGCAAACGTATTCCCAGCAGCAATACCCAAATCAGCAAAGTTATCCAGGACAACAGCAAGGATATGGTAAGAGAGCTGTCATTGACACCAACACGGCAAGTGCTTGCAATGCTTAATCCTGACATCTGCTTTCCTAAACTAAAACATGATGTAATCTATTTTCTTCAGTAATCTTGACACACACCTACCAACACTAGCCAAACAGCATTGAAGGAAAAGGGAATCTGTGTATAGTAACATACATTAATATTGCAGTATGGCATGCAGTTCTATATTATCATACCGGATCCTGTTCTCTTTTGAGGAGTTGAAAGTGTTATAGAGAAATGTTATGTATGTTTTGCCTCACATTGACTTTCCTGTAAGTGTAGCTAAGAGGCCACTGCATTAATTCTCAGGCTTCGTACATATCTAATGCTTATGTAACTGACACAGAAAAGTAACATCTTAAAATTAGAACCACTATGCCCTCATTTAGATTTCTTAGGGCGCAATGCTCTGTGTGCCTTATTTTCACTTGGTGAGGAATTGATGCTAAAAGAAAAAAGTGCAAGTGCTTTGAACATGCAGCTAACATTACCGGAGGGATTTGGAATGATTCAGGTCACCAATGGCAGTGCACTCCATCATCCTATTTTAACCCCTTTTGTTAACCCTAAGAACCCCTCCTGGCAAGCTAAGCCTTACTAATTTCACTCTCTTCTCAGGTCCTGCACAAGGAGCCTCGTCACAGTATTCCAGTTACCAACAGGGACAGGGGCAGCAGTATGGAAGCTACAGAGCTTCCCAGACAGGACCCTCTGCCCAGCAACAGAGGCCTTACGGCTACGAGCAGGTAAGTTGTCCAAGTCTCTGCTATAAAAAAGCAGGTTGTTAGCTCTGCACATAAATCTATTCGACAATTTTATGCAAGTGTATCAGTGATATTTTGCTGGGTCTTTCAAAAGTAAAAAAAAAAAAAAAAAGAAGAAAGGGCAAATTGTCCATCTTGCTGCATGTATGTCACTGCAATTCTGTTATTCTCCAACACATTTTTTGTTTTTTTTTTTTTTGTAGGGACAATACGGAAATTACCAGCAATAAAAGAACACGATCCTGTGTCAGATTCATTTCAATAGTATATCCATCTTTTGAACTGGATGTACAGGCAGTTTTGATTAATTGTAATATGTTGGTTACCCCTTAGCACAAAGCAGCGTCTGTATGTGAACGGTGTTCATTTCATGCTGGATATGAAGCAGTGCACTACTGATAACAAGACAATGCTTTAATGGTTTGATATTTGGTGCTGTGTATAGTACTGTATGTTGATACAATGCATTTTTTTTTTCATTTCCCCCCTGCCATCCTTGATGTTTCTAAATAGCTTTAGGATCATTTGATCACAGTTGTGCCCAGTTCTGGAAAGCAGAAAAGTTATTCTGAAGTCTGAAGGTTAAATACAAAGCCATTTAGTCATATCTCAGTCCAGGGAAGTATCCTAGGGCAGGTTATTGACTGCTGTTTAAGTGGAGGCATTCAAGTTTACCTGCAGCCTCTGAAATTCATGGCTCTTAGCTTCACTCCTTCAGAGTGAGGAGAGGGATACATTCCTTTTAAGTGCAAAGTCTCTTCCATGCTGTAAGATAAAAAGAAAATTAACKGCAATTTCTGCAATGCCTAATAGGGCTCATTGCCCAAGTCTTCTAATTTAAAATATGCATAGGTCCATGTTTCTGTTGTAAAAGATACAGAAGGGTGATCAAAACATATATTCAAGAAAATATTCATCACTAAAGGCACCTTTTATATATCCATGTAACCTATGGTATTTCTGTCATGAAGACAAAAATAGAAGGGAGCTTTGAGATCTGGAATGTCAGCCTACTAAATGTCAATATTGCTTCATATTGTACTAAGCTAAAAAAAAACATCTGGCAAAACTCCAGTCTTAAACGTGCTACTCCAAATTTTATAACTTGCATATATATATATTTTTTCGTGCCAGATTTCCCAGGCCAGTAGCTGGCATCCTTCTTTACTTCTCATTCTCCCATTGCTCTTATTCAGATTTTCCAGCAAGCATTGTAGCCATGAATATTACCACATATTTTGATTGACTGTTCCTACAGCTCCTCATTACTTTTATTTTTCTTTTGTAGCTCAATAAAAAATAGTTCAGAAGAAAAAATATCCATCCTTTTTGCAGTTAAACAACTAAATTCAGCATTAATTCTGAACAATATTATGCATAGAGGGAGGGAGATTGTTAATAGTGTCAACCAGTAAGAGAAAACCTATAGAGGAAGAACGGAGAAACAAGAAATAGTGGCATGTAGAAGCCACTATAACTAATAAAAGTCACTTTTATTTAGTTGTATACATTCTTATAAAGTGCTGAAGTTGAATAAAGTACTTAAAACATGCTTATATAACTGTTAAATGAAGTACCAAATTTCTCAGTGGCAGAAGGCTAAGGTGACTATACTTCAGGAGCATTMTTTAATGCAACACTAAATTGAAAATTAGACCGTAAATATATCCTCTGTAGTGTTTTCTCCTTTTCTTTGTCTAAACTGGTATATTGTTTGGATTTTGAATTCCGGTACCTTGTATTTGGAAAAACTAAGACCACAGGGAAAAAGAAACATCTCTCACTTCATGACTTTCCTTCCTGTAAAGGAATATAGGACAGCCAGACAGTTTACTCTTAGATATTGTGCAAGCACTGCCCTTGATACATTAACACTTGTACATGCTGAAACAGAAAACATGTTTCTTATTCAGTCCTTATTTCTCTCATCTTTCCTGCTGGTGTTTTCATACAAATAAGTACTCTCAAATATCATGGAACAGAAAGGAAATACAATCATTTTCTTTACAATATTTAATAGTACAAGCAGCCAGGAGAATGCAATGTTGCTGTTTGCCAACCTGGAAATTCAGCTTTTATGTGGTTTTTGGAAGTGCTGAAATGATACTTTTGAGAGGATATGAACAACACTTAAAACACAGAAACATCACATCAATCCGAAATGTCTTACATTAAGAATTTCTTGAATGTTGTGTATATAATGTATTTGAAAGAGCACTTTGGAAATAGTTTGTACATTTATTTCCTAATTTATACATGATTTTTGGTGTTAATATTTCTAATTGTTAATAACAAAATGTTTATTTAATGTGTTGTCCATTTTTATGTATTAATGTGGAAACGAAGTGATGCCAGCATTTTGACTTCTTCCATTAATTGTATCATCTTCTGTTTTGTAATACAGAATGCTTGAAGTTTGTTTAGGTTAAAAATTATCTGAAAATGAAGTTGGTGGTACTTTTCTTACGACAGGCTTCTGAATAGGAGGAAAAGAAAAAAAAGGTGATAAGAGGAGGGTGCTTTATTCGTCTTTCTAGAAATGGTGCCAAATTGCACCATCTTTGTTAAATTTTGGATGTGGCTCAATCATAGTTAGGTAAGACAAAAGTTTCTCCCAGCTTTCGAACTCATTAAGCACTATTTGATGAGCAAACACTGTGCATATGGCTCCTGTTTTAATGGCTCGCCTCACAGGCRATGGAGAGAAGGGAGTGAAGAGAAGTATCCTTTGACTCATGGTGCACCAAAGCTTCCTTGAGAGGGGCAGAGGTAGAAAACAGCCCCGTCTGGTRGCACCTGCCTTACTTGAGATGCTCCAGCCCATCCAGTGGGGCACAGTGAAAGACTCAATGACCATGGTGGTCAGAAGGATGCCCAAGGTTTCCACAGAGGGGTCCAATCACTAGGCCACTTGCTGCCTTTGCAGAACGATCACTCCAGCGCACATAACACCCGTCTGACACGCACCAGCCACCGTGTCGCCAAGAGGTCGGGCCTGGGCGAGGGCGCAGCGCCCGCCCGCCACACCTTCCCTCAGGCCGCGCTTCCCGCCCAGGCGCTTCCCGCCAAGCCGGCTGCGCATGCGCCCGGCGGGCTGCGGGGCGGCCGTTGGCCGGGGCGGGGCCGTAACGGCCGCACGTCACGTGACGTAACGGCTGCGTGCGCGGGGGGTGCCGCGCCCGCCATGCTGCTGTGGCGGTGGCTCGTGAGGGGCGGCCGGGCGCCATGGGGAGCCGCGCTCCTCGGCGCGGCCCTCGCCGCCCCGCGCTGCCGCCCGCCGCCCTTCTCCACGACCGGCGCGCGGGACGCCAAGAGCCGGCGGCTCGCGCGGAAGAGAGCCCTGACGGAGCGGCAGCTGGTGAGTCCCGCCGCGCACGGGCCGGGGCCGGGCGGGGGCGGCCGTTTGGTTTGTTGGCCCTCACCGTGATAAGCGACACGCTTCTGAGGTGAAAATATGSATACATATTCTGGAGTTTAGTCAGCTTTTTGAATGCTTAGGAAAGWCACTTCTCGTGTGGAAGTGTTGGTGCTCGGAGTAGGTGGTGTTTGCTTAGCCCAGACATACAAACTTGGAGAAAATGAGCCTTATATAGCCTCAAACTTAACCTTGTTTTGTTTTTCACTTTGGGGACTTCTGTAGTTGCCAGGCTGTCTTATGTCTGATAAGCTGTACAGTCCTAGGACACTTTCATGTTGTTCTTTYCCAATTTAAGTTTCAGGTGAACTGTTTATTAGTTCTTTAAATAACAAGTTCCAGTAGTTCACTATCTTGCCATATGGTGGTGCTAAATACTCTCCTAAGAGGGTCTTTTAAAGCAGTAGGGGGTTGTAGGGTAACCTTACTTATTCAGGAATTATATTTCTTTTTAGCTGCATATCTCAACTGTAATATTTCACCCACCCATACTGTTCAGACCACCTTATTAAAAAAAATATATATTTCTCTATCTCATAATGAAGCCCAAGCTATAGAATCTGTGTGCCTCTGCATGCATGTCCCCCCTTTCTCTTCTTGGCCTGCCATGTAAACATTCTCATCCATACATATGAAAATACTTCAGCAATGTTTTCTTTTGGAGATTTCAGAGCACTTCCCAAAGCCAGGATSCAGAAATTTCTTTATGCTCTGTCTTTATCCCCTGTGCAACTGACTGCTATATATGAAGTATTCCTCTGCTTATTCCCTTTGCACATATCTTCTGGTTTTTGTTTTTGCTACAACTCACAATTCTGTTAATTTTGAAGCGTGCGTTAATTTAATCATCTGATATGCAGACTTGATGGAGGATGGCTTGTAAATTGCACTGGAATGGTACAGAATCCATCCCTGTTGCAGACACGCTATTTTGTGGATCATCGGAAAGTGCGYGTGGTTGGAGGACAAGGCGGAGGAGGGGGCCATTCTTTTTATAGTGAGCCCAGAAAAGAATTTGGAGGTCCTGATGGTGGAAATGGTGGTGATGGGGGTCACGTCATTTTCAAAGGTAAAAACTCCCAAGTCTGTTTTGTTTCGTACTGTCTCATCTTTTAAAAATCCGTGCWCTCCCAGCAAACAACCAAACAAACCCAACAACCCAGTGTTGGAGTGTTGGTAGCTGGTAAATTTAAGTGTGACAGATCTGAAATGTTTCTCTGTWTATTGTCTTTGCTTTTTAAGCCCTTTGGAAAACTGTGGTAACAGGGACTACTTAAATGACATTGATAGCTGTAGAAAGAATCACCTAAAAATGTTTTGAGAGCCAAGATAATTGAGAAACATGTTAGCTGTTCGTCCTTGCCTTTGTTATGGTAAGACTAAAACCCCACTATATTTTACTGTCAGGTTAAATAAATCTTCTTCCACTAAGCTTAAATAAATGTTCCGCTACCAATTTGCTGCAGAATGTGCTAATCTGGCAAGCACGTTTTCCAGAGTATTTTGTGGTGAATGCGTAGACTTTGGAATGACCAATTTATAAAAGGTGTGATCAATAAACCTAACCTGATAAAGATGTGGAAACTTCATCATAACTTACAGTAATAGTAGTCTTTCTTGCTTTTATTGTTGAAGCAGTGAATAAGATATGTATTACTACAGAATTTGTAAGGAGAAAGAACAGGCAATAGGTTGTTCCACTATGAAAATGAAGCTTTTAAAATCTGCCTGTTTTGTTTTACAGCTGACCGCCAAATGAAATCACTTTCATCAATCCTTCCCTTCTACCAAGGTTTTCATGGACAGAGAGGAGGAAGCAAAAACTGCTATGGAGCCAGCGGTGCATACATGTACGTTAAAGTAAGTTAAGGTTGTTGAAAGTAAACGCTGCAGATTCCCAAGCTGGATGACCTAGCTGTGAGAAAAATCAGTTGTTTGTGTACGTTTTTGCAGGGACTTTCACATTTATCTCCAGGACTGGTTGGCACACAGAGAGATCCAGCTGCTTTAACTAGTTATAAAAGCCCTGCCTCCTTGGAAGGTACATCTGTCTAAAACAACCAGTTTTACTTTCAGGGATCACTTGCCTAGTATTTTCAGAACAAAGAACGTGCTTAATAGGAGAAGACTTTCTTCTTTCTGTTTTTAAACATATCCTGTTTGGCGCGTAGTCATGCTGTTTCTAAACTCATTACTATGATTAGGCACCTGTGGTTACAAAGGCAGAGAACAGTACTGTTAAAGTTCTGATGAGGTGTAGATGTCTGACAGTGGTGTTTGGGTTCAGTACATGAGCTTCGTAAATTACACTTGCCATTTTTGATTCTTTCAGATCCCTGCCTCAGAATAGAGAGGAATTATCTTTTTTTGATGAATCTGAAATCAGCTGGCAAAGGATCTGATGAGATGGTTCTGCTGCAGACTTTGAACTTCAATGCATTGTTTGTATTTGCCGCTATTTTCAGGTCCCTGTAGGTACATTGGTTAAAGAAGATGGGAGAGTTGTGGCTGACTTCACTCGACATGGTGAAGAGTATATTGCAGCTTATGGGGGAGCTGGAGGGAAAGGTAAYCGCTTTTTTCTTTCCAATGAGAACCGAGCCCCAACGTTCTTTACTCCTGGAGAGCCAGGCCAGGACAGAGTCCTCCACTTGGAACTCAAGACAACAGCACATGCAGGATTGGTGAGTATTAGTGTGATTCTTCACCTTCTTTATCTTTGCAGTTTGACACTTGACTGATGGAAGACATAATGTTCTATAACATTTTTATCAACCTTCTGGCTTGCTTGTCTAGAGGTGCAGCTCAGTGCTTTCTTGCTGTTATTTGGTGAAAGGCTGTCCAAAATTATTTGCCAAATTGTCATTCTTTTGCTACTTGATGTCATGCTACTTCTGCTAAAATCAGCAGTAGTCGTGGGAGAACAATGCACAAGATTCATCACTGATTAGTAGACTCACTGATGATGTACAAGGAATTGTCTGTAGATGGACAGTMTGGAGAGATCCTCTAAACTAGTCATTGTGTTATGTGCTTTAAAAAAAGCACTTTGATAAAGTTCAAGTCATTTCTATCTCATCTGTGTATTTCTATTTTTTACGAATACTGAACACTGGACTTTCTTTGTTTCAGAGTTAGTATTATGTAAAATTAAAAACCAAGTCAATTTAATATTTAATCTGTTTTCTTTTTTAAATATGGAAATATTTTGGTCCTGGCTATTAAAATTAGACAAGTRTTGTTATGGTAATACAATAACTGTACAGTAACTATTTGGTGTAGGAGAATTTTGCAGATTTCTTTGGAGACAAAGGAGTTAGCAGTAATGGATCAATGTACTTAATTCTGTATCAAGGTGAAGACCTTTTTTTTCTATTTATTTTATTTTTACAATTTAGAAATTTGGGTTTATATAAAATTCTGTACTCTGACAGTAATTCTGAGTATCTGATACCAGCAGGCAGGAAAAATTCAGTCTGTGTTGATCTGGATGATGTTGGCCCTCAGTGTATGTCATATGTCAGACACTGAATATCCCAAAGTAACTTTGTTTCTAAGATTGGTTTATTTAAATACTTGTGCATCAAAACTGTGACAACTCTGTAAAATCCCAAGCCTTACGAATGTTCTGGTTAGTTCTAGGCCAAATAATATTATTGAGTTGGTGAGGGCAAAGCAAATTCTGGATTTTTGGAGAAAAAAATCATCTGTAGTTGGTCAAGAGAAGTGAAAGATAAAGACGGTAACAATTTCATTGTGCCAATTCAGAGGAAAAAGATTTTATCTTGTACTGTTTTGACTTATGTGTTATACAAAAGAAAGTTAAAAATACTCTTTTTATTTGAGTTAATGTGGAACTGTGACTTTATTAAGTGTTTGTATTCCAGGTGGGTTTTCCCAATGCAGGGAAATCATCACTTTTGAGAGCAATCTCCAATGCAAAGCCAGCAGTGGCTGCCTACCCATTCACAACCCTAAACCCTCACGTTGGCATCGTTCACTATGAGGACTATGAGCAAGTAGCAGGTAAGAATTTTTAGATTTCAGTCAAATGACACAAATGGTAGTTAGAATGACTTTAAACACTGCAGGAAAAAAAATAAAAAGCACATCTGTAGAATTCTTGCTTGTTCTAAAGAACTTCCAACCTGATGTAGCAAAGCAATATTTAAAGTACATTTCATGTTCACTTGTATGTGCCCTTAATAGTGAACTATAGATCTCTATTCTGTCTTCACTGAAAAGATCTATATTTTTTGGAGCTATAAAGGATACATAACTTAGTACTTTATGGCTGGTGTACTTTAGTACTACATTGATGCATTTATCTCTAATTCTAAAAGTAATCACAGGACGTTAGAACAACTTTGTAACAGTTGTTAAATGCGTTGGAGTCACTGTGAAATTTCTCTCACTGTAGTTGCTGATATTCCTGGCCTAATAAGAGGTGCTCATCAAAACAGAGGCCTCGGGATGGCATTCCTAAGGCACATCGAACGCTGTCGTTTTCTCCTATATGTGTTAGATATGTCTCAGTCTCAGCCTTGGATTCAGCTGCAAGACTTAAAATATGAACTGGAACAATATAAAAAAGGACTGTCCAAGATTCCATGTGCTATCATTGGGAATAAGATTGACCTTGCCCAGTCCAGGACTAATTTGCCACTTCTCAAAGAACAAGTAGGTGAGCGGGTCATTGCGTTGTCTGCATTGACAGGTGACAACCTAGAGGAATTATTGCTGCATTTGAGAGAACTGTATGACAATTATGTGAAAACAGAACAGTCACAAGGAAAAAGCCCAGTCAAGTGGTAGGAAGCAGAACTACTGTGAGCCATAATGGAGGCTAAAATATCATAATTTGATGGATTAGATGACATCTTCCTTTTAAGGGCATAAAGTGTGTGGATTTACTCTCCACTGCTCTGTTGGAAACCTGCTTGTTTTGGTTCCCTTTGAAGTCTCTCAGACTTTTTGCAACAAAACTTGAAAGTTGTAATAAAGACAGTTGCCATTTTCCAGTTCAGCATCCAAGATCCTCTCTGGTATTAGATGGATACCTGTGGAATGACGAAGAATGCTGTCTGGTGGAACTGACTGAAGCTCAGGATCTGCGGGCAATGTTGATTTGCTTTTCTGAACTAGAAAGAAGTGACTTCTCACTGTCATTAATCAAAATTTCTAAATAAAAATAAGCTAATCCAGTATCTGTCTGTCTTTATGGTCTAACCACTTTTATTCATTTCTTCCCTTAAACTTTTTTTTTCCTTCCCTCTGCTCAGAGGGGAGACGACTGCCCTGTGTGTTTAGGGAGGAGTGTGAAACAGGTATAACTGATTGAAATATTTCCTTGTTAGTGTAAATAAATTAGCTTTTTGYTGCTGTAAATGGTATCAAAGGCTGGTAAAATATAACATGACACCAGAAATATTTCAGGAATAAATTGAAAAACAAGCATAAACAGTGCTATAAACAAATTGAATTGCCAGTGACTAAGCACCTGGTTCATGATTTATTGGAGTTCCTCAAGCCCCTTCTGCTGTTTACAGGAAGAGCAGCAGCACTGGCTGCTGGGGCTGTGCTTCATTACCTGTGTGTCTGCAGAGATCAGAGCCACCTGCGCATGAGAAATGTCTCACCAGGTTTCTGCATGTGGTGTGAGGTGGGACATTGTACACTTAAGTCCTGGAAGAAATATTTTTGGATTCCTCCTGCCTGAACAGCTTTGTGCAGCACAGACCAATTCTCATGGAGCAAGCTTTGAAAGCAGTTTTATTCTGAAAAATAATAAATTTTGTCTATGACTATGAATCAAGAGGTGCTAGTGCTAAGAGAAGGGGACTTTGTTAGATGTATTGCCTCTGTACAAATTACTCAATACAAAATGATGATATAACTTCACTATATTGTCTCCTGCAGGCTCTTGCTAACTGGGATTATTGGTACAGTGGCACCTGTAACAACAGGTTAATGTTGGGAGCAGAGGGTAGGTGTGTTGCAGGTGTGTGACTTAATGAGTTATTAATTGGCTGACAGGCGGAACATGAAAAGGGAACACAAAGGCTGCTGGAATGCTAATGTGTTATTTGAGCAGTTAACTCTGAGATGCAGATTAAAAGACAATAAATATGTGCTTTTCTAAGAAAAGATTATACTACATGTATAGATAGTATTTTTTTTTCCAAGCTGTAAGATTTATACTGGAAACTCATATTTTGGGGAAGATTGTGTCCTGCAATATGGAGACTTCTGTCGTGTATAAAAGTGATGAGAGGCTTTTGGAGGGAGATAGTATCTTTACTGGACCAACAGTATCGTGTTTGTGCACGTGTACAGGGAGAATGGTTTAGCTTTCAGCCCTGATAGGTCTACAGTCTGGTTGCTACCATAAAAGTCCTATTTTGATTTTGAAACTGTGGAGACTCTGTCCACTTCCATTAATAATTGCCATTGTGCAAATGGCTTTGCTATAAATTAAAACCTTGTCCCTCTATTGCTGCTGCCTGGTCTTTAAAGAACAGTTTTGTTTCCTCCTGTTTGTCTTCCATATGGCAGCTCCCAATGTTATTCCCCGTTAAGAAGTTTCCTTGCCTTGTTAAATAGGGCTTACTTGCGCCTGCACCGGAGAGGTCTGCAAAGACTGAAGTTATTAATATTTGGATGGCAGGTTATATATGTGTGTCAATAATGATAAGGGGAGGTTGGGCAACTATCTTGATAATAAAACCAAGCCACCTTCACGATGCATCTTTGATCCCTTGTTTTTTTTTGTTTTTTTTTTTTTTCTCTTTAGTTCTGAGACTTAGTATGTTGAATGCGCCCATCTTTGAGACATAAAATACAGCTGACAGGACAAAGGCAGAGAGATTTTTATCAAGCTTGTTTTAATATTGAGATTGTGTTTGTCCTTCATTTTCCCGCTGAGAATAATTTTTCATATCCTCTTTCCTGATTGAAATAGAATTGTCCAAGGAGGAAGCCTTTGAGCAGAGACTGATTCCCTCATCAACATTTTTTCCCTKTGCTTGTTTATATGAAATACTGCTTTGGTGCTCTGAAATGTGCATTTTTGGGCCCTGTTCTTAACATATTACTATAATGCTATACCATAAAGATAGAAATACGCATGTATTATATATTTACTCGGGATTGATAAGACTATGCTACCAAATCGTAAAATCATGGCTTAATTTTAGTAAGAGATAGTGGATATGACTGGTTACTTTGTTGCAACCTATTTTATTCTGCTGCCATTCCATTAATTTTAATTGGAGTCTCTCTGGTATGATGCGACCCAGGTAACTTAATTTTTTCTTTTTTTTTTTTTTTTTTCTGAATATAGCACTGCAGTATGTTCAAATATTGTAACCTTAACATGGTTACTGAGTAAAATAAGCACAAGGCTTTTCATTTGTTATGTTTTATCCATATATGCTGAAAATGTTTTGTACAGACTAAATTACCTTTTGAAATTCATGCTTTAGAAATGCGCTTAGATCTAGACATTAACACTGAAAAGCAAGACTGAAAACTGACTGTAGRACAAATACATCTTTTGTTATTCAGGTCTTCAATTTGGTGCCTTTCTAACTTTGTAGCTAGAGAAATACGTGGTCAATAAAGGCATAGGTAAGAGTATTTTAGAAACAGAAAATATCCTAGTGTTTAAAGTCTTCAGCACRCAGAGAAATTTGGTCATGATTCTTAAGTTTTTGCATTTTCATTGTGATACTTTGTTTTTCATTGCTTAATTACTGTTGAAATCGGAACATAAGTGTTTTTCAAAGGCATGTGAATCCCCATCCAATGTATCCTTCACACACACACACACACACACGCACATAAATGTTGGTGGATGTTATCCATTCTCTGTCTAAATCCAGATGAATTAATCTTCCACTAAATGTGGAAAATGGTTATGAAGAAAAATATTCGCACGAGGCAATATAGTAAAACACTATTTGTCAAGAAGACATCTATGATATTACGTACGAAATATCCATATTTTGATTGTCTTATTCATGAAATCATAATGGTTTTGTGGCTGTTTGTTTCGCGTTGTTTTCCTCTATCACAAATTGGGATGATGAGTTTGGCCAGCTAGTTTGCTTTGTCCTGACTGGACACACATTTATCACATTTAAAAAATAACCTGGTGAAATGTCAATGTATTAAATCAACGTTTTTTTCTGGGTTATTTTTGAAATGTTTGTTTTCTTTGTTTACTCACCACCACGCCAGACACATAATGAGCGTTTCAAACATTAGTTCAAATAAACAATCACTAGGACAACGAGCAATGTCTAGAAAAACAAGAACCAGTAGCATTTAGTAGCTTCTCTGTGGGAAGATGTGATTCTGAAGCTCGCCAACCTGTGCAACAGGTTAAGTCCTTATATTAGTTTTGTTTCCCAAAGATCCTGATGGGCCCTGTAACCACAGATGTAACAAAGGTATTTTGTTTTGATGTTAACTGCCCTGTGTTTCTAAATCAGCAGAACATTTCCAACTTCATYAGGTAAAATTAGGAAAGTGGTTTTGAGGGATGAACTTTTTTTTGTTTGACCCAAGCAACTTGCTCAGTGACTTTTGTTACTTGTGTTTTTCTAGATAGATTTATACAAGCGTCATTTATAAGCATAAATGCTATATTTACACTTGTAGCTTCAATGGGCTTATCTTGAAGTACAGGATGAAAATATACAACTTGCTGAAGAGACACTCAGATCTGCAATCTGTATCATATCTGCCTTCCTCTCTTGTAAGGTATTCTACTTTTTAGGGTCAGTTTTACCTTTTTCAGGATATTGCAGTCTCTTTGAGGATATTAGCATTATCAGAGCTAACTTTTTCTTTCCTGAAAGCAAATCAGGAGTTTTTCCCCAGTAAATAAAACTTTATTTGCAGATTGATAGCAAAAATTGCCATGTGAACATGTACAATTTATTAACTGATGCTGCTAATTCATGTAGATCATCGTTTATTCATTAAAGGCTCTAAAGACAAGGTGATTTTTAGTGCTTACTAAATGTATTCAAGTAGCTTAGAAAATTGATCAACTCAGAACAGTTCCAGAATTGTATATTCACCCCAGATGAACGTAGTGCTACATAAGTTAATTTCGTAATTAATCTAGTCTGTAACAAAATCAATAATACATTGGAGTAATCAGGTCACTTGATGAATGAGTGCACAGTATGAAATTTGCTTTTAATGAATATTCAAGCTAAGTAGCTTTTGCCTCTAATCTATGCTAGTAAAGCCTGAGTGCTTATACATTAGTGGAGGCAATGATTACAGAGAGTCACGAACATAACAGTATAAAGAASGAACTTATTCAAAGTCTGTCAGAGATTTTTATACTGTTTTTGTCTGATAGATAATATACCCATTTTCTAATGCATCCTGGGTGATCTTGTCAGCACACAAATACCTCATTGGAGCTGCTTGTATAGCTTGAGGTTAAGCTTAGTAAAATATGTGCTGCGCTGCTTTGGTGTGGGGGCAGTGTTATTCTGCTGTGTTATTTGCTGGTTTGCCGCTTTGTCATGCCATTTTTATGAGTGATTAATGTTAATCAGATTGATTATTAGTTGTTTTCCCTGTTTTCAGTCTGTTCAGTGCCTGGGTTCAGGCCACCTCTTAGTACAACATGAGTTCCGGAGCCGTGTTGATTGGGCTTCTAGTTCTTCAACAGCAATTATTCAGCTTCCTCTCAAAGTGTTTCTGAGATGGTGACTTTGAAACTGAGCTCAGAAGCACATTGGATTTCTGAGGGGAAGTTTCTATGGCGTTTCAGCTTTTTATCCTTTTGAAACAGATGAAATGTTCCATATGTTTCACTCTGTATGGGTTCTACCCAACTAGAACTTCAAGAAAGGTGTGTTGGGCACTTGGATCCTTTGCTGATATTTTAATTTGCTTTGTGGTACTTTTTACCYTGCAATGATAGTCATTTGAGCGTCTTTGATTCCAGCCTTCTCTTCACTGTAGAAGTAGCTGTATGGAGCATTCTTCTGTTCATGTTATTCTATCAAGTACTTTGCAACCGTTGTGTGGATTAAAAATAACAACAGAACTGCTCTTCAGGGGCTCTTCATACTCATTTTCATAAAATCTCTTGAATAATGCCTAAAGTCCTAGTTCTGTGAAGTCTAAACTTTAGCTTTGTGCACAAACTGTAAATACTATTATTTTATTCCAG